ATGGCTTACCTTTAACTACTACATCAAGCCACAAAATTATAGAATTGTTTGAATCAAAGTGCGATTTCAATGTCCGTGATATCGTATTCAAATAAGAAGGCTACTTATTAGTTAATTTTATTTTATAACCGTCGTTGAACAGCTGATCCAATTTTTGGGTTTAACACTACTCCAGTCGTAACCTTGTAATTTTCAGAACATATAACTAGATAAGGGAACTTTTGGATCAAGTATCGAGAAAAATTTGCCATCATAAAGAACCTGAAGAAATTAACCCGCATTTGCGTTCAATGGAGTGGAAAACAACGAAGTCCTCCCATGGTTCACCCGACTGCAAAGAAACTCTAACCCATGATCCGTTTACCACTGAGGATATTTTACGTCAGCACTGTGGTCGGTGCTTGCCGGTTGTGGAATTCGTATCGACCAGTCATCGCTGGGATTTGAACTCGGTCCACCTTATTGAAAGACGAATGCTCTATCCCCTGAGCCACAACGGCTCGCTGGAAAGTGTAGATAATTCACAATGAGTCCGAATTGTATCGTCAATATAACCTTTATATTAGAAGTACATTACTCATTTTCTAAATATTCATATTGAACTAGATCTTTTCTTAATATTAACTTATAATTTTGAAATTTGATCAGATATAATGTTTTAAAGTACTAAAATACCACACAAAGTCGCAAAATAATAGATCCTCTCTGTCCCCCCTCCCAGTTCCACGGTCCCTGCAGAAGATCCAAAAAATATTAATCTAAAGTTTCTAATTGATTGGCCAGTGGGTGTATGTGGAAGGTTGGCCTGACTCCCAGGAACGGTTCCTGAAGTCAATCTTAATCTGATATCTTAATTTTTATAAGAGTCAGTTTGATGAGATCATTAGATTCATTTTTAATTAATTTATATGTATGCCATAAATACTAATATTATAAACTTTTCAAAAAAAAATTTTTTTGCTGAATATAGTTTCCTGAAAAAAAAACATTGAAAAATAATATTAAGCAAACACAGATTTCATATAAGAATTAACCATATGCTAGAAATAATTTATAAGTGATCATATGTTTACTATTAAAAAGTCCTACTGATTAAGTTCTTTTTCACTCGTAATTGTTCAATGAATTAACCTCACTGATTTATATTTGTATGCATTGGGGACTATGATCTATGAGAATTAATGATTTCACAAGGAAATATAACAATAACTTATTTTAATTTAAAGTGACGTGACAACAATGAGAAAATTAATCAGGCTGGTCTGTTTTTATTTTTATCAACATAGTTTATCATATTTGGCATTCTTATCAGTTTTGAAGTTTAGTTTGTTTATCAGTGTAACGCTTTTTAATAAAAGACGGAGGTGATCAAAATTCTTGGTTATAAATATGTGCTGTTAATGTTCCTGTTTCTAAATAGTGGATGTATCAAAGAATACATAATGTATAAAGGATGGATATGTATATAAAGGATAAATTTAAAGTTATTGTCTTTATTGGTTTATTGGTGAAGAACTCTTTAAATTTGGAATGTTAACTGAACCAATCATGCATGAATGTATAATGAGGTTGCTCTCGCAAGGAGATGAAGAATCAATTGAGTGTTTGAGTAACTTACTAAAAACGGTAGGTAATGAACTAGACCAATGGTTTCCAACTGGCGGCCCGGGGGCCCCATCCGGCCCCCGAAGTCGTTTTTGCGGACAATTTTCGTAAAAAATCTATATGGGTTTAAAATACTTTTCTCGTTAATAAAAACTTAATTTCTTCTTTTCTGTGAAATTTATCATACCAACGGTGCAAACAAAATTTTTTCTCAGGTTTTGCATCCAAGAAAATGTTTATTCAAATACAAAAATAATCGTGTATGTTGCTCTTTTTTATTTCATTTTTTTGTATTTTGTGAATATAATTTAGCATGTGCGTATCAGAAATTTTCTCGAAGAAATTCTGCGATTTAACTTTTTGAAACCACTCATTTTGTAAATTTTAAACCACTCATTTTGCAAATTTACACACACATTTGTAAATTTTAAATTTAAAATGTAAATATCTATTCTCTGGTGGTTGCAGCAGATAAAACCTCAATTTTGCCGCTGAACATTTTGTGTGCTACTATGAAAGTTTTAATATCAACCTTTTTAAAGTTTCACATCTTAACAATTAGATATCTGTTGCACATTAATTGTTTAATACATTGGGTGCACATTAAAGTTATGGTAGCCCGAATGTTTTAATATGCAGTTAAATAGTTTTAAAAATCTACTTATTTTAATTTGTAATTCAATACTTTTGTTTTGTACAACTTGGTAAAAATCTGACAGTAATATTTAATGTTCCTTCAAACATAAAAGAGTCCTACATAAAATTTTGACAAAGTTGAGACCCGCCATTTGATTTGCGTTTTTAATTGTGACCCCCGGCCTCATGTTAGTTGGAAACCTCTGAACTAGACGATCACAAAGCTAAACGTTCGAAATAAAGTGTAAGTGTTCTTTATTTTCATTTTGAACAGTGCTTTTATTTGTAAGAAAAAGTGATGAAAGTTATTCTTGTAACTAACTGTAAATTTGAAGTTTTTAAAGATCTTCAATCTGAGTTATGCTACTGGTAAAGCTAGTCAAGGACCTACAGATATATTGAGCTATAAAACATTATAGAGAGTGTTCCGTAATGACCTCCCTTAATCATGAAAATATTTTATCAAAAAAGTGCGCACGATATTAAAAATTTTAAAATTTATATTTAAGTGTGGAAAAAACAAATACGTCGTTGAAATATGTTAAATAACTATTGGCAGAATAAAAATTTACCAAAACCAGTTTTATAGCCAGATATAACTTGAAGTGATATATATATATATATA